CCCTAAGCACCAGAACCCTAAACCCCTCCTTTCTGACGGCCTCCTTGAAGCCTAGCAGGTTGGGCTCGCTTCTTCCCCAGGAGGGGCGGGGCGTCAGTTGAGGGCTTCATTTGGGGTTTATAGGGTTTAAAGGGCTTTGGCGGTTTAGGGTCTAGAGGTTAGAGATTTAGGGGTTTTTCAGGCTGTAGGGGTTTAGGGGTTTAGGGTTTAGAGTTTAGGGCTTATCTAGGTGGTTTTATGGATGGGGCCGCGGGGAGGGGGGGGGGGTGCTTTAAGGGCTTTAGGGTTCAGGGGCGACATAATTCACGGCTTATATGCAGTACTGCCTCGAGAAGAACAACGAAGCTCTTAAGTTTGTCGTGGAACAGCCCTCAGTCGAGGGAACCCTAGACACTACACCGTGAAGGGTGCTTACAGGGGTAGGAGAGCACTGTGCTGCATGAGTTTGGAGATTTTGGAGATTCCCGGTGCAGGAGTTTCCGGGGGTTCTCAAGGTTGGGGGATTGGGTTGCAATTTAGTATGAACAAGATGAACTAGAAGAATTATATGAATTATATGAATGATATACATTATATGAGTTATATGAAGTATATGAATAATATGAGTTATATGAATTATATGTATCTGTACATGATATCAGACAGATAGTCGTTCAGGGTGTCGGGCTTAGGACCTTGGGGTTTAGTGCCGAGCAGGGACCTCCTCAGGTGCTCGTGTGAACCGTGACAGGTAGTATACGACGTACTGTTGATGATAATCCCAAAATGTAAAGAGTTGATTGGGGTTTAGGGTTTAGGGTTTAGGGAGGGTTACTTACTGTTGATGATATTGTAAATCCTTAGCATTACCTTAAGGACCCTAAACTATGGGAATGAATTATGGTATATTCCTTATTGTGGGTGATGCAGGATTTATACCATCAACCGTAGGACAGCCGCCGTCCTAAACACCAAACCCTAAACTCTAATAAGTAGGCATTCGAGTGTATGGTTGTCCCTGAGGGTCCACCAAGTACCTAGTAATCAGATAGTCTCCCAAATATAAACCTACATAACTACTATCCTAAACCCAGGTACCTCATTATTGGATCCTTGGGGCCCTTTAAAAACCCTTACAAATAGATCCCTTATGGAACCCTAATAGAACCATGTCATTCTTGGGTCTTTTGGACTCTTAGGCCTTTGGTTGTGTAGGAGAACCTCAGAGAGATTTCGTCTGTCCGGAACCTTATTTTGCTCAGCGCCCCCCACAGCTGGCTGGCAAGTCTCCGCCCTAAACCCTAAACCCTTATCAACCCTTAAACCCTAAAACCCTTAAGCCCTAAACCCCTAAACCCCCACAGCCCTAAACCCCTATAGCCCTAAACCACCAAACTCCTAAACCCCTAAACCCTTTATAGGCCCTTCGAGCAGAGACATGCCGAAACGCCCTTTGGAAACTTCTGAAAGAAGTCTGGTGGTGCGCTGGATTTCGGGCCGGGAACTGACTTCTGTGCCTCTGGACGAATCTGGGCGCTAAACCCTTTCACCTTGGGTGCTGCCCCCCACTCAGTAACAGTTGAGTAGTATTCATAGTATGGATATATCAGGCCCTTAATAGTAGGTTTAGGTTTAGGGTTTAGGGGTTGAGGGTTTAGGGTTTAGGGTTTTAGCCCTAATATAGACTTTTACTGTATGGGGGCAGTACCCAACTTAAACCCTTAAGCCCTTCAGCCTTCAACCCTTCCAGCCTTAAACACCTAAAGCTTTAAGCCTTGAACCCTTAAACCTTGAGCCCCAAACCTTAAACCCCAAAGCCTTACGCCTTAAGCCCTTAAACCCTTAAGCCCTAAACCCCAAACCTTAAGCCTTCAACCCTTAAGCCCTTATAAGCCCTAAACCCTA